TTTGTGTATATGTGTTTAATAGTAAAACAAAAAAATCCTTTCCTTTTCTTTTACTTTTTCATTGAGCTAATACACTCCAAATCCCAGGATGTGGGCATGACTGTGGTGCAATACATTATTTACACCTTTTCAAGGTGTATAGGGAAAGTAGGAGCAATAACCGACCTTCAGTCCTTCTTTCCTTCATTCCGTTTTCTTCCCTTCATGATTATCACAGCAGGACAGTTAATCGCATACTACATTATATTCTGTCCTTCTCCCCAGCAACGGGCTTTCTGGAGGCTCGTAAACGCCCGTTTCAGTGGCTCAGCATCCCAGTAAGACAAGAGATTGTCAGCAATGGCGGCTGCAGTCTGGCACGTGTGTAAAACGGTTATAACTGTTTCGGCCTGTTTTTTTTTTTTTTTTTTAAGCTTGTTATACCGTCAGGTGGTGCAGGTCGAGAGAAACAGTTTATTTCTTTTATTTTTAACTCTCACTTAGAAATTGAGTAATTGAGTTGTATCTTAGCACTAGAATATGAAAAAAAAAAAGGAAAGAGGGGGAAGAACAGTTTGGAACAGTAATTTATAGGGTGGTTCAAGTCACCAGGCTCGATCTAAAATGGACCGTAAAAATCGACGCTTGCACGTAGCAATCTAAACTTTTCGTCAAAGGTGTATTTCACAGGTCGGTTTTTTCTTGTAAAATTACAAAGCGTAGTTCTCTTTCTGTAAAAAATAAGGCCAAGAAACTTGCCATGGTCTACGGCAGGCAGCGACGCAAACGACAGGGGTTCAGTAGCGGGGTGTGTTTGGCGTTCGTATTGACAGATGGCGCTACTTCCTTATCGCGACGGCTCGCGACCACCGTGGTTTATTAAAATGAACATAATCTTTTTGAAACGTACCTTTAATAATAAAAAAAAAAAAAAACTAAATGCGGACAAGAAGAGCAAAACTTAAAAGTAAAAAAAACGCGTCTGCATAACGGCGGCGCTTCTGCTGCTAACGGATTCCGTCTGCATGTCGTCTGCTTTGTTTCGCTGGTCTTCTGTAGCTTCGGACGCTGCTCCCGACGCCATATATCAATACGAACGCCAAACACACCCTGCTACTGAACCCCTGTCGTCTGCGTCACTCCCCCCCCCCCCCCCCCCCCCCCCCCCCCCCCCCCCGTGGACCCTGGCAAGTTTCTTGGCCTTATTCTTTACAGAAAGAGAACTACACTTTGTAATTTTACAAGAAACAAACCGACCTGTGAAATACACCTCTGACGAAAAGTTTAGATTGCTATGTGCAGGCGGCGATTTTTACGGTCCATTTTAGATCGAGCCTGGTGACTTGGACCACCCTATGGATTAAACCTAAAGTACTAAAATTAACAAACATTCATACTTTAATAAAGCCTATAATATTTATTTATCTTATTTTATCTTACAAACTAATAACAATAACACAAGCAACAGAAACCGGTGAAGAAACCTCGTCGTCCTCTCAACCAAGTAACAAGATCAAGAGGCACAGAACTTAATGGATTGAATATTTTAATCTCAATATTACCCTGATTTTATACTCGCTAAAAGCCCGCTGATAAAACCCAAGCCCGTACTCGACCCAGTAATTCCGCTGCCTCCCCTTTTTAATTTTTTTCTATTGGCTCTTAAATAATGTTTTGTCATATTAGACCCTATATATTTACTTTTAATTGGTTTAGACCTGTTATACCGTTTGGTAGTGCAGGTAGAGACAAATTTTATTTTTATTCGTTCTAGCCCTCACTAGAAATTGAGAAATCGAGTTGTACCAAGTTGGTGTCGATATCTTAGGTCATTCTCAACGTCGGAACATCATGCTTATAATAGTACAAGCGGTAAATCCTGTATAGAAGTTGTGGCAGGGCGTGTGATTCGTTCTTCGGGGACCTTATTAGATAATGTCTCAATTTTATTGACTGCAAAGCGATACTGAGAAGCACGTGGATCGTAACGCCTTGCGTTTGTTAGGCTGTGAGGGACTGCATAACCACTTACACAAAGTTGCCAACGAGTGCCCCGGTGGCACAGCTTCTTCCGCAAGCCGTCGCGAGTGTAGGTCACACTTGAAAGCGAGGCAGACGAGTCTCGAGAAGACGCCCTGGGCCGGGGTTCAGAAATAGCGATGGAGCTTCTGTTTGCTTATCGTCTGCTTCCGCCGCCATTTTCTTTTCGATGGATATATTGCTGACTGTTCTTGGTGCGCGTGATTGGTGGAGATAAATTCCGCGCCCTTCTGTTTTCGCGACTGGTCGAGAGGCTCGTATTTCGTAAAAAAAAACATTTCTTAATGCATTTTTAAGGAACACAGACTTCAAATGTTGCGGCTAGTAATGATTGCCACCATGTCCGCGGCCTCCACATTGAGAAAGTTAGTAAGTTACGTGGTTTGCGCATGCATATTCACAATATATGTATACATTTTTTTCTAAATGGCACCTCGATATGGTTTATAGGTAGGGTTCCGCGTTTTCGGCATCTATTTTTCTTCAGATTCGGGGGTTATTTATCGGTGCTTATTTTTTTCTTGGAATCGGTGTTTTTCGGTGTTTAATTTCAATGCTGGAAAGAAATCGGTGATTATCGGGGCTTCTGTTGCGAAGGGACTGCATAATTACTAGAAAAACTACGGCACACCTCTCATTACACACGTTTGTTGTACACACACCAAACACGTCACACAATGCACATACATATAGAGATGACAGAAAGCGTAACCACTTTCAGAAACATTATATCAGTACTTAAACTTATTGAAAAAATTTACATGTACATTGTCAGAGACTTGTCAGTCATCGGAGCACGTTCCTTGCGGCCGAGGAAACGCAGTCCAGAAAACTTGCCAACAAGGAGCTTCTTTGCACCTTCACACAAAACCTCGAAATCGTCAAATTCTTGGACGTAGTCCTCCATCGCTTTCCGTTTTCTACCCTTACCACGGCCGGACTGGAAGCACGCGCTCTCTTTCTCTTCTTGCGGCCTTTGCAATCGGCCGGGAGTCGATGGCCTTTTTTCTCTGTATATAGTTCACTTGCTTGCCGCCAGGGGCGCAACCACCTCACCCCACTTCACCCTACTCGGAGAGTCCCTTCGAGCTGCTTTGCGCTGGTGTTCGAGCTTCGTAGGTTGTTGTTTTGGCAACTTTGGTCTGGTGTACATCGGTGGCCATCTGGTGAAACTCATTAGTGAGTTTGGGTGCGACGCCTGTGTTATGCTGTTGACTACGAGTAACAGAGGTGTTGCTCTGTTCGTCTTATTGCAAGGCCAGGATAAAAGCGGACTTCATTATTCAAATCCTATAGGTTCCTCGCACTTCTGGACAACAATGTTGCTTTTTTTTTTTTAAGGCTGTTAAGCACCTTCCGTGTAAAAATGTGCACAAACTTCTGAAACTAGATAGGGAGCAACTCATTGCACCCTATTTTGAAGACGCGCCAATCCTAAGTTGCCCAGAGGGCATTGACAACAGTCACTCAAAGCGCTTGGCTGGTTTAATTTGCAACAAGTTCCTCACAATACTTCTGATTAACCATGCAAAGACGGTCACGGACAGAAACGGACCATCAGCTGGATATGTGCACAAGCTCTCAAGGAAGCACTTTAGGCTGTAATATGCACTGTGCAAAATTTGTAGACACCCTCGTCTAGAGCAGCTGACCGATTTTATGTGCGGCCAATGAAATGATGATGCAGACCAGGGCTGGGATAGGTTGGTCCTGCTTACATTTCACGAGAGTGTATGAATTATTTATTATTTAAAGATCCTCCACGTAGAAGCGGTCCGTCTCCTCCTGTTCTTGAGTTGCAACGGAAGTGCTGGAGGTAAAGACGAGTATAGGTTTTTCGCAATTGCATTCGCTGTCTTTACTTACTACTTTTTACTCCCGAATCTCTCGGAGACGTGCGTCAAATATTCACCCTTTTGGGTTGATCAGAAGCGCATTAGATAGTGGCTGTGGGTCTAAACTTAGGGATCAGGTGCCAAAGGCTATAAAAATCTCGGCCGCAAGTTGCGACAGCGCTGAGATACACTGCCAGACGCGCTCTGTGCAAACGGCAAAGGGCAGCCCAGGGGTGAGATGACAGCGCCCCCCGCGAATTGCGGCGGGAGGTGGCGATTGCCCCAATTGCAAAGGCCGTAAGAAGACAAAGAGAGCGCGCGCTTCCAGTCCGGCCGTGCCCTTACTAACGGGCACGCGAAACTTGTCCGAGCAGTGACTACGAAGTGGGCTGGCGTTGGCCTTCCGCACGCCCAGCAAAAGAGGGCACTATCCGTGGACCCTATTGCTCTCCCCCATTCCCCCTGCCCCTCTTCGCCTTACCTCCTTTCTCCCATATACCATAAAATCTATGCCTGTACAAAAGACTTAAAAACAATTGTGCTAAAAAGGACGAGGGAAGGGAACGGGGCAATAAACATGGTTTCAAGAAAGGGACGATCCCAGGGACAGTTCAGTGGGGCTGTGTTCCGGGTCAACGAGAAAAGAAAGCGGACTAGATGATTCTTTCAGCTAAGCTGCCATTTTTCCGCAGCTTAAATTCGGTGTTTTCTGTTTTTACCGATTTAGAAAAAAAAAAAAAAAAACGCCTCGGGGTTAATTATCAGTATTTATCGGTATATACCGAAAACACGGAACCCTATTTATAGGGCTTGACTTGCTGCATGGATGCATAATAACTTGTGGCCATTATAAGAATCAACAGCGCAAAAGAACTAGGACAACAAAGCAGAAACGCACAAAGACAAACAAGGGCCTATGACCAATATGTCACCTATGCTGTTTTGGGCGATTTGCACTATGTTCCCATATTGAATCACCAACTCACCCAAGCCTCCATCTTACAGATTTGTTGTATATGTTATTTTCCAAATTATATTTTACGGAATGTTTCTCGTTCGGTATCTTCCACCCGTATAAGAAATGCGCTTTAAGACGTAATATGTTCAGAAAAAAATCGTTAATCTTTTTTATCCCCTGGATTGCAGAGTCGGCGTCCCTCCAGCCATGCAGTGCAACACGAGGATGTCGTTACAGAAGGCGAAGGGTTCTCAACAAGCGTAACAGTCTCCTAGACACTAGGCTGTGGTACAACGGTACTGAGCGAAGTCTTGGACGTCGTCTGGGACGTCAAAGAAGCCACCGACACCATGTCCGACAGCGCTAAAGTCCGGAAGGACATGGACACCACTTACCCGGAACCCCTTTCCGTGCTCCGGAAGTACGCCTTGGGCCCAGAATACCCCCAGTCCTTCTTCAAGCGGCAACAGAAGAAGAACGTTCGTCGCGGCAGCCGCTTCAGGACTCAGCCGGTGACGTTCGACGAGATCAAAGAAGTGGACGAAGATGCCGCGTCCCTCGATGCCGTGGAGACGCCGGGCGCCGAACTGGCATCCAGCATGTCACACGGCGACATCCGTGCGGGCTTCCTGGACTTTGCCAAGAAGCGACAGGCTTCCAGAAGACGGGAAGCTGCCATCGTCGATCAGAAGCGACAAGAGCAAGAGATGTTGCAGCAGCAACAGCAGCAAGAGCAGCATCAGCAGCAGCTGGAACAGCAAGCTTCTTCTGCAACCGGTGCAAGTGGTACAGCCACTGACCAGTTAAAGGAAGCATCGAATGACTTCTTCACTTGGTTGGGCAAGGCGAGACAAGGGTCTATTTGAGTTTGGCAATGAAGCATATTGCAAACCGGTGACTGGACAGTGGTAGCCCGCGGACTGCTACCACACTAACCTCACCAGCAGCTTGAACAGCGAGGTTCTTCAGCAACCGGCGCAAGGGTTGGGCAAGGCGAAACAGGGGTCTATTTCAGTTTGACCGTGAAGCATCTTCCGAACTGGTGACTGGACAGTGGTAGCCTGCAGACTGCCACCACACCAGACTCATCAGCAGCTTGAACAGCGAGGTTCTTCAGCAACCGGTGCAAGTGGTACTTGTTCACTTGGTTGGGCAAGGCGAAACAGGAGTCTACTTGAGTCTGGCCGTGAAGCATCTTGAGAACTGGTGGCATGGACAGCGGTAGCGTTGGGACTGCCTCGTGCCTCGGCAATCTGGGCCACTGTATCTCTGCTGTCGGAATTAACACGACATGTTGCAAAGAGTCATTTTTGTTCCTCTCCACTAGACCTGCACGGTAGTCACAACAAGTAATCAAATTACCTGTGATCGATTACTTTTTGGAGTAATTTTGGAATCATTTGATTAGATTTATTAGGAAGTAATTGCAAGAGTAATCTCATTACTTTTTGGAGGTACTAGAATTACTTGTAAACGTTACTTTTTTTACTCCCGTTTCTAATGGCCTCCTTTGTTCGTACAAATCTCCCATCAAGGAGTCCTCGAACCAAATCTTTAACAAGAGAATGGTTTAACAAAATTCGCGTATTAAGAAGATATATGTAGTTCGTAATTCGGTGATTTTAATCTAATATTGTACAGTACGAAAGCATCGTATTCACAATGGCAGAAAACTGTCGGTTTAAAAATCTGAAGTAGCAATGAAAATAAAAGTTCGGATCCTCGCGGATGTAACTAAATTTTAACTTTGCGGTCAATTTAAGACACTTGTACGTGCTTTCAAAATAACTTTATTTTTTATCAAAACGTCCATGCCCAAAACGCAAAAAAAAAAAAAAAATATTTTTTTTTTGGTTTTTTGGCGACCAAATTTTGTTAGGACTATACTTCGTACAATGTGTGAACTATGCACAAAACTTGGTATTTTTTTTTCTCGATGTGACGACGAGTATGATTGTGTCTATAGACCAACTCAACTCACTGATGTCACACCACTGCGGTGGCGCTGCGGTCGGTACAGCGCATGCGCAAACGCTTCCCTTTTCCCGAATTCGGTTTCTGCGCAAGCGCAATGCCCGCACCTGGTGTGGGCAACGCGGGCTTGCTTGTCAATGTTGCTCTTAGGCTTAGGCTAGGTGGCGCAGGCTACCGCCCGCTACAAAGGTATAGCCAGTAACATTCATCCATCCATTCAACATGAAGCCCGTGATTGGACCCGAGTCCTCGCCGAACGCTGACGAGCCGAGCCGAGTTCGCGCCGAACGATGACGCGACCCTCGTGTCCAATACATGCTCGGCGTATTTGATCCAGCAATGGCGGACGTGGCGTTGGCACGGACTTTTGGAAAGGGCCTATATGGTAGGTGTCGCGATGTTGGGATCAGAGTTGCAGACAGTACAATCAGTTGCTTTGGTCGATTATAGTAGAGAGCACAAGAAGAGGCCCAGAGAGGTCGAATACTCGCACGATTGTTTACTATTTGAATGTACTGTTGCCATGATTCCACGAACATCTCGCATGAAAGAAAGTAGGCAGAATTGAACAGAATTGCGATTCTACAAAAGTTACTAAGAAATGGCGCCTTATAAAACACAAAATAAATGCTACAATTTTGTGAAGAAACAGCTCTACGTTTTTTGTTGTTGTTTGGTTTAGAACGCCTTGCTATGAGTTTATGAAACATGGCCACACGATACGGTATCACATGACAAACCTAGACTAAAAACGAAGCAGTAACATAATGTACGCTAACGAACCTTTTCGACTTGCCGATACCTAACCCGTGGCAAGGAAGCAGTAGTAGCCTGTTTGCCACTTTTTGGGAGTATACACTCGTACGAGCAAACTAGAAGTAAGGGAAGCAAAAATGTTGTGGTTAAGACAGAAATAGAGGACTGAATACCGCAACATTAGGCTCTCCGCTTTATCTGAACCAAGGCGTAACACAGTCGGAATTCGTGAGTTTGCTCTTTTTATGTAAGTTATAGAGCAACCCTTCAGACATGAAACGTAATAGGCAAATAAATTAAGCTATTCCTTCACCCGTGGTTTTTGAAACAAGGTATCATGGACAAGGCGAACATTTCAATCTCACATTTCTTTCCGAAACCAGCGTAAACAACTTGGAGTATATCGTACAACCTGCATACGATTCTTCCCCTTTGCTGGTCCCTCGCATTGCGCCAGTCCTATTACGCGCAACGATGAAAAAATGCTAAGCTTCGTAAAGACCTGTTTTTGTTCGCGCCGTGTCCGTCGTAGAACATAAACGGCACGCAGCATTCATAGAAACTGGCCCGACAAGGATCGTCACAAACGAGAAGGTTTCATTCAACTAAACCCGGCTGCAGCCCACAACATACAAAACTGAATGCCCCGAGTGGGTTCCTTAGAAAGCATGCAAAATGTGAAAAGGACCACTCTTCGAGCCAGATGGACTCGCGTGGGACGCTTCCTTTACGAATATGAGCACCATAGGTTGGTTTGTCTTATCTAGTTTTGTTTTTTTGCACGGAATGCAGCCATGGTTCCGGAAGGGTCTCCGGTAGTTTGAATAGTCACGTCCAGAAGAACTGTCGTGACCCCAGCAGCTTCTTTGCCCAATCCCGCGATTCTGCGGGATCCTTTCTGAACGCGGTGTCTTGAAAAGGGGACTTGTTTACTTCTCAGTTTCATCGTGGCGCGAAATTCGTACAGCTTTTCAACTGGTCTCAAACTATGGCCTCACGCGCAGCTTCTTTCTCAGCGGAGAGAAAAAAAGAGACAGAGAAATGTGGATCTGTGTTCTGAAGGGTCTTTCAATGTCACTTCTTAAATAACAAACCACAAAGCAAAAATATGAACACCTGCAGGGCAGCGTGAGTATCAAAGAAGGTCCGGATGTGCTTTTGGCTGAACCGGAGGGTTCTTGGTTTCAGAAATGATATACCACATCTTACTAAATAGCTGTCCATATAAGTCTGCATGCGCCCTAGGAGCCAACCACACTTTTCCAGCCTGAGTTGCCGCGGACCCGAAGACGTCTGCTCCAGCCGCTAGAATGACGTCCCGCTGCGGCCTTGTCCTCCTGGTGGTCTTAAGTGTGGTTCACGCAGCAGTAAGTGGGTGGATGCAGTGAAAGCGTTCGTTTGGTTTAACGCGGCTCCGAATGTTACGTGCATGCCAAAAAGTACAGTTCAGCAGAGGATACATGCACAAAATTGTAGAATCGCACGAAGTTTCGAACAAAACAATTATGACTTGGATTAACGATAATTGCAGTAATCGTTTCGTAAACCCAAAGATCCGCACTCATACGAGTTCAATTTTGGAATTGCGAGCTGGAAGTATAAAAGCAAAGGCAGTCGAAACTGTTAAGAAGAACTTGCAAATATAACCTTTTGAGAAACTCGGCGTGGCCGTCAACAGTTCGCCACTCTGTGTTGCCTCAGAGGGAACCGTCGGCTGCGACTCTAAAGATTCCAGGAAGTTCCTTTTCAAGCGAGAATATTGCGCAACCACGAACAACGTGTTTGTCATCCTCACGAAGGCTTCGCATCATATGAATGCCGTTAGACGAAACGTTAGAATTGCGCAACTTCGTATCTCCAGGAACAGTCCAAGTTTTCGGTAACCGACAGGGGTTCATAATTAGAAAAAAGAAGTTTAAAAGGGTGAAAATATGCTGTGTAGTTTAGTGAAGTTGATGCCGATAACAAGATATAATCGTCTTCTCCATATACCCTCCTAGCACATATATGAAACTGGACCACGATGTAAGATACATACATGAACGTACCTGTGCATCTCAGAGATACTTCTTTCAGCCTTGAATGAAGAGTAAGAAAGGTTTTGTATAGTTTTAGATGTCGTTTTGCTGTCCTCTCACAGAACTCCATCTTTCGACAAACAAATCACCACTAAAAAACAAAACAAAAATTGGGTTTCTTTGCCATAGGTTACGCGGTTGTGGATTATGGAGTGAAATTCTGAGGATATAAAGTTCAGGACTTAATTCGGGCATTTCATATAACTTTTCAGTAAAAAATACAAAATTTTACACCTAGGCTCATTCCAGTCGGGGTAATCATTTTTAATTGAAGCTTGAATTAATGTCTCTTAAACCTGAATTAATGTTTCTGCTACTTCAGCGCGGATACAGAAGTCCCGTTTGTAACTGGGCTCACGAAGATCATTTGTGCTAAGAAGTGCTCCAATCGAACAGTTGCTGATTTTTGCTGACTAATCTGGAGTGTCTGAGAATGTGCATTTAAGCGCAGCCACTTGTTGGAAAAGGTTTTAAAACGAAGTGCCAAACGTTCTACATTCATTAGGTGGGCCCATAACTTCTGCCAGGAGCAGAATACGGGCTACAGGGGTTACATTGACTTGATAAGCATAAACTTATCCAACAGAACGCACTAAAACCTGATTTTTATTTTATTTTGCTTTGTATTTTTTTTTTCGTAAAGATGTTAAAGCGCGGTCATAGCCTTATATAACAAAGAAATATTTTTGCAGCACGTAAGTCATGTAGGCCCCCATAAAAACGACGGTCGCGTCGTGCGCCTAGTGTAAAATAAAAATAAAAATAATAATGATAACTTTTACAATGATTTTTTTAAACGACAGAGTAGCAGTCGTCAAGCGTAAAGCGATGGGTAAAATTTAGGTGAATTTGAAAATCAGAGTGGTTATTGGGTTCTCTGTGACACAGGTAAAATAAAATATTCAAGTCGTGCAGCTCGGCTCTCAGCGCCTGAATGAGCCTGCCCAAGAAGCAGCAAAGCCGACGGATCATGAGAAAGTGTGTGTGTGTGTGTGTGTGTGGGGGGGGGGGGGGGTGACTTAGGTCCACGCTTCTTGCTTCGCGACTGGTTCTTTAGCATTATTATCGGTTAATTTCGCACTCTAATTGGCTACACTGATATAATCCACGCCCCCTGCGTTCCTTAAGATGTCGCTGAGTATAACAATGACGCAGCGTGCAGAGAAAGGGCAAAAAAAAAACGGCAAAATATCATTGCACTTACTCGCTTTGTACCCCAGTACTTCGTTGAAGATACTCGCTCCAACACAGCCCTTTAAAGGATAGCGTAGTTTGCTAAGCTTAATTGACAAAACAAAGGTACTTAATAACAAAATTAAGGTTCCAACTTTCGGCAATTTAGGTGTAACTAAGCGCGTCTCAAATATACTCGCAACACCTGTTGTTCGGCCTCGTTGTGGAATGTGCCATTCGCAGGACCGAAGCGCCCGAACGCGGTTTCTGTTTTTTTAAACTGCAGCTGCAGTATTCCGGATGACGGTAATTCTGGCTCACAAAGA